GTCATTTCGAAAATCACTTCACTTGTGCCACGAAACGTTCCGCTTCTGAAATGAATTCAGGCACCTGTGTGAATTCTAATTCTGACCTGCAATTTACTCATGCGTCCGAATTTACATCATTTGGTAAAGAAATCCTATTGACTCCATTTTTGTATAAAAATAAAAAAAAAATAATTGAATGATTGTCATATCTTAGATATTCTTTTAATGTCATTTCGAAAATCACTTCACTTATGCCACGAAACGTTATTACCAATTCAAGGTTGGATGCCGCTTTTTGTAGTGAATTCAGACACCTGCGTGAATTCGAATTTGGGTTTGGATTTTCACAGAATCGCAGGGCTGTTATCTGAATTCACGAGAACCACAAATCAACGAATAACACAACATATAAAATAAAACAACACAATAAATATGAGACATAGCGTTTTATTAATAATAATATTCAATAATATTTTTATTTTAATCGATAGAATATTCAGCAATATTACAAATACAACGTGGAACAATAGAACAGGGCAACTTAATGGTTTTTAGAAAACTTAATACATACGATAATGTAGCAACATTACGCTAGCAGTAAATTCTTAACACCAAATCTTAAAGCACACCGACTTAATCAAATTGTACTATATGTATAAATGTTTAGTTATAAGCAAACCCTCATTTAAGGGATGACTAACATCCACAATAAATTAAAAGGACAATAACTTTGCACATAACAGATTTCAGCTAAGCTTCTAAATCTTATTTAAACCATCTTCAGTCTAATCCAAAAAACATGACGATACAATAAAAATGCATCCATTTTATGCTATCAATATTGACTGACATTAAAACAATCACCGAAAATGTAAGAACGAAAAGCATACATAACAAAGCAAAATAAACACTTAACTAAATGGCTTTATTGCATCGTCAAGTTCACATCTAACCGGACTTCTCAACTCCATTATACTTACAAATTATACAAAACATTTGGAAGTGAGCAAGCATTACCTGACTATTGGCTATAAACTACGACCAAGTGAAAATTACTAAAATGAAGTTTATCATATTGATAAACAGGTAGAAATTCAAAATAGTATAAGTAATAATAGTTAGTTTCGAACAAAATCTTAGTCGAATAAAATCGCTCACTTAGTTTACTAGAGATTATTAATGGCCGTAGATGCTTACCCTACATTTTGTAACTCACCTATCTACTTAAGTACGAAATTGTGCAAGACTCGAAACTGAGATCATATTCAAAGCCATGTATACTTACGCCTTGTTTGTTTCTCTTTATTAAATATCTACGAGTAGGTCACTTAGAGTTTCAATATAAAAAACTTCAGAATCGGATATATCTCTATTTACCTTGTATCTTTATAAAATGTTAATGTAATATTCTACTGTGTTAACTTTATACTGAATAAGCAGTAATTCCAAGATTAAAAGCTAAGCACTATCTAAAAGGATAGGTCGAATAAATATGGACCATTGTCGTAGAAAATCGACTGTTCAGTACAAAATTGAGTACCAAAATACTATCCGATACAAAACTTTAAATGCGCGACCCACACACGATCATTTTGGGAAATGATCTCAAAGATCTAATTCCCTCTCATTTTCAAGATAAATCCAACGATTCGAATGAATCTTCACACCACATTTTGTGAAATCGTAGATGCCATCACATCAATAAATAGGACTTCATTTCTACTATAATAAGTACCATCACCTTTAAACTATTACTTTAGACGCCTTATGAATAAAAGTTGATATTTCATCTACATTAACATTTGACTAGATATTATCTTTCTATTGTACTTTATCGACTGCGATATACGAAGTCTTGTGTCGATTTAGCAGTGAATCATTTGCATTAAAGCCATGGTAGCTTCAGCTGTAAGACAATTTAATATATAAAATACTAAAGACAACTATTATTACTTTAAATTATAGTTTTCACTTCTTCTGTGTCTCATCTATATTAGACGGTGGAGATTTTGCAATCATTGTGAGTGATCTGAAAACAACGAATTAATTAAATAAAATACTACAGATGATTTTAAAATGTAAATAATATTATTATTCATGTCTATAATCAAAGAATCATGTAATTTGGACTTTTATGTTCAATTGGCAAATAAAGATGTATAGAAATACGTACATATTTTAAAAATCAAAATCTAATATTAAGAACAATATAAAGCTCCCTCAGAATGCCAGACTCAAACGTTAATATATATATATGTCACTCAATCACACATTTATTTTAAAATAAAAAGCAAATATCTAAAATATGTTAATAAATTAAAGTCAAAAATAATATTGGAAGATGAAGCAAATAAAAGAAAAGAAGCTGTATGTTACTGAGTAGTGTACCTATTTGTTGAGATGTTCTTGGGAGTGACTTAAACAATAGCAGCTGCAATGACAATAAGAATATTTAGTAGGCATAATATTTAAAAATAAAAAATAAAGAAGTTTTAATTAAATAATTGATAATAACAAGCAATACAATAACATGTATAATGGAGCAGATTAAAGGATTTTTATTTGAACTATTTACTTGTTAACGTTTATAAGACATTATGCAAAACTTCACTCCTGGCATACGAAAAAGTATTATCACACTTTTCCTGGACATTCTTATTAATAGCTATGAGGTAAATCTCAGAGATAACATTATTGCTTTTTTATAATGATATTAACGTATCAAGTAAAGGAAAGTAAAAATTACAATCAATATTGTGATTAATAATGAGGGTGGACTTTTTATGAGTGAAACAAAATGAAATGATCTAATTTAATGTAAAGATTGTGTTATTATAAATAAAATATCTAACCTTCGCTGAGCAGGTACTGGTGGCGAAGCTTGTGACGCAGGAGGCAAAGATGCCGGGCAACTGCCTGACAGAGTTGGTTGTGGTTCATCTTCTTCACTGTGTCGATCCCCTTTAAAAAATATTATACTTGAAATAATGAATGATGAAATAAGTCTCAGAAATCTCTGTATAATCCTATGAGAGAAAATAGTAAAACAAGAATACAAGCCTAATACTACATACCTCTCACTATGGGAGTGTCTCCGATGTAAAAGGTAGCTGCTGGTGTCTCTACGACAGCCTCTTTCACCGAGTTGTCGCCGCTGACGGCACTTAAAGTATCGGTACTATCAAACATTATTGTTCGCTCCTTAGCTCTCGGTACTCGACCGTCTAGTTCCTATAATATATTTTGTATTTTTATTATAACAATCTTATCAATCACTAATGAAACAGAAGTAACTTTTATAGTTGATAAAAACTTAGTTCTTTAATTGTCATCAGTATTTGAAAAGCTTTTAGATAACTGTATTATTTATTAAACGAAATAGCCTCACCAAACGTTCGGTGTCAGAATCAGGCTCTTGGACTTCGTAGTCATGAGAAAAATGTTCACTAGTGGATTGATGCTCAAGGCTATCAGGACATTGAACAGCTGTCACCGCATCCAACGTATCCAGTGAGGAGACCATTGTGTTCGATCCTGGAGGGCGTAGCGCTGTTATCTTTCTGATTAGTATCAAGCTTGGTGGGGCAGCAATATTGATATTAATAATAAATAAAAGCCTGATCAATTCTAAAAAAGGGTTATATATGATGAGAATTAAAAATTTTATGAAACCAAGGTTATAATAAATAGATTTGAACAGGCATTTCAAGCAAGGATGAGAGCAAGCGTAGTTACATCGATTATATATTTGAAGCATGATTATAATATAAGTGCTATTTTTTATTTTCATGCTAATTGCTAGAAGGTAGATGAAGAAATCAAGCAGGTGATCATGTAGGTTAGTACTTCTATAAGTATTGTAACATTATTCAATATAGTGTTTTAAAAGCATAGCATTTCTTAGCATAGCGTATTAGTTTTAATGAGATTCTTAAAATGATAATTGGAACAGTACCTTTAATAAATAATCTTTGCTTCAAAATAGACTATATTCTTTGCTTTCATACAAGCTTTTAATATTTTACATTTAATATATTATCCTACTTATCCTTAAGTTAAATAAAAATGAAAAAAGGAACAAATCGTCAATCGAACTATATGTTTTTCATCTCATTATTAATTTGTTAGTGTAAATTTTACTAAATTTGTATGCAGTGCTATTTTGATATTCATCTTAAAAAGACAGGAAGGACGAGGAAGGAAGGAAGGAAGGAAAAAATCATTAGCCCCAAGTGCCCGAGATAAGAATCGAAATAAGGTGAATCCTTAGAAACCGCTGGGAGCAACAGATCCCATCTCTCAGACTGAAGAAAATTTACTTTTATTGATACACAGTTTGAGTTTCTTAAAGATACAGGTACTGAAATAGGAGCTAGAAGTATAAAATTCATCGTATGATTATTTTAGACGAAGAGAAGTTAAAAACAAAACAATATTTCTTTATTTACCAAGGCAGATTTCATAGGCTCATTGCGTTACACCCTTTTTACTAAAATAAATAACATTTATTCAGTCTAGTTCCAGTTACAAGCGTCAAAAAAGTCGAAACTCGATACCATCAGTTTGTAAATTTAAACCGGAATACCTTGTACCGAGAAGAACCATTGAGAAACAAGGGCTGCTTGTTTCTAACTTTACTAACACATAATGGAGTTATTTAAAGTTGTTAGCTTGTTGTGATGCTGTTCATTTAGACAAGTAAAATTATAAGGTGTTACAATATTATAAAAAGTTATTACAAAATGCCAGTTATTTATTTTTTAATATATAAAGAAGGAAATCTTTTACTCACCTCCTGATGTCAAGCTTCCTGTCATGGGTGTATCCACTTCATAGTTGTACGTAGCTCGAGTAGCATTGGAACTTGTAGCTTCTAGACTATCTGTACTTCCTAACATGAGATCGGCGCGGGCACCCCTATTATAAAGAAATAATCAATAATTTACCCGGTTAATAATAATGTTGGATACTACTAACAAAAACGTTACTACCATTATCAGTATAATTTTTAAAAATTATTACCTGCTGAAACTTCCAGACGAGCTCAATTCTTCATCCTGGCCGCTCCACGAACCACTAGCTGGATCTGTAAAATGTTTACCAGAAAGGGCAATAATGCCATGAGCTATCGATCTCCCTGAGGAGGGCGAAAGCTCTCGTACTGTGCTACTTTCTCTAGAAAATTCCAAATCTTCTGGTTTCTCAGAGGACATAATTATAGTATGTTTAGTAACAGTCACGGTTTCGCCATCTGATGTATGCCGATCTAAAACTGTCATAATACTATCCATTTCTGAAGACTGTGACACTATCGACGAAGACATTTCAGAACCTACTGACATTTGGGAAATTTCGTCAAAACGTTGCGGTTTTGATGGAATATCTACAGCACCATCTCCGTCAGTGCTCGTTACTGTCTCGGACACTTTCTTTCCATCTACGAATTTCTGTTGTATGACCGTAGTCGTTCGTACAACTTCAATCGTTCCTCCATCTGTGATAGTTCTAGTGACGATTTGTGATTGCTTAGATTTTTCTTCTTGATCCAATATTTTCATCATTTCTTCACAGTCTCCAGGAATTGATTCAGCCGAACCGTCACTCGGAGCTGCGGCGCATACAAAAGACGATGTCTTAATGCATTCTTCAGTAACTTCACATGGCTTAATTTCACTTTCTTTTTCAGGATCTGGTTCTGGTACAAAAAATGCTCCCCTATCGTCAAATTTTTTCACTGTTATTACTTTAGGAGTAATCTGTTCTTGTAACTTTTGCTCTAGGGCCATTTGTTGATCAATAAGTTTCCGTATGGATGCTGAATCTGTCAAAAGTTTTTGAGAGGGGCTACCATAACTGCCAAGTTTTTGGGAAGGACTACCACCTTTTTGTGATGGACTTCCACTTTTTTGACTCGGGCTTCCTCCTTTTTGAGGAGGACTACTTTCTGAACTTCCACTATATGAACGTTTTTCTCTTTCTAAGAAGCTCCCACTAACCTCTTTAGGATCAGCTAATAGTAAAGCTTCTTTTTGCTTGGCAAGAATTTCAGCTCTTAGCGCTTCGAGACAAGCAGTTTCTAAGCCCTCAAATTCTTTTAAACTAGAAATAGATATATCATCGCCTTGACTTCTACTAAGAATATATCTTCTTGGTAGGGATCCATTCAAGGAATCCTGTGATGACGATGAGTATTGTTGATACTGTTCCATTAACGCTTTTTCAAGATTTTCGAATTCTTGCAGTGAACTTATTGATATATCATCGTTTTCTCCTTTCACTCTGAATCTTATTCGAGATGCCATTTCTGATTCAGATAAGCTACCATACGAATTCCTAAAACTTCCAAAACTACCGATAGATTCTTTTTGTGAACTCAAACTACCTATTCTACTGGCATCAAAATCAGTCATTTCCTCTTCTTTTATGTCTTCCAGTGGTATCCTTTCATAATCATACCTCGGATCACCTTCAAATTGCATTTGTATCCAGCGCTTACCCGCTTCAATTTCAGCCAATTCTTGTGCTTGCAATCGCTTTTGTTCTATTTCATACTGAAGTAATTCTTCATCGGATAAAGATCCTGATGTCCCACTACTAGTGCTTTCTTGTTTTTTGGAAGCTTTTGATAAATATTCTTCGACTTCTGTATCGTGTTTTTTAATATACTTTTGGCTCTTAATTTGTACACTTTTTCCTTCAGTATCGGTTTCTTGAGCTTCCTTAGCAACTTCTTCAATGACTACAAAGTCATCCATTTCACTAGGCTTATCAACCATTTCGAATTCATCACTGGTAGGGGATTCTTGTTCTTTTTCGTAACTATGCATAGCTCTTTCTTCTGTTGTTACTACAAGCTCCGATTTACTATTCTCTGTAACTAAATCAGATCTCAATTCTGGAGTTTCAGAAATATCATACATATCATCAAGTACGTATTCTCGTCCATTGTCAGTAGACAGTGAACTCTGACTTGGTGCAGATAATGGAGTTTGTGGAGTAGACAGATGTTCATGAGTTTTCAAACTTGAAGTTGAGCTTTGTTTGCTCTCCAACTGAGATTCCGGAGTTTTTGCAATAGATTTTTCAGTCTTTGTTTTAGGAACTGAGGAATCGCTTTTAGACTTAAGAATTTCTTCATACTGTGATGATCCTTCAAAAATTATTTCTGCTTCAACGTCGACAAATTCTCTTTTACTAGGCGGTATTTCCGTTATCGGAAAAGGTATTACACTGACCTCTTTTACAATTTTTTTTGTACATTGTTCTGTCACTTCATTAAGCTTTTCTTCAGAAAATCTACTACTAGGAACTTGTTCAGCGCTGTAAACTGAAGTTTTAATTATTGATTTTTCTTCTTTTGGAGATTTTAAAGACTTAGCAGTTAAGGTTCCATGTTTAACGATTTCTTCATATTCTTCAGAACCAACAGGAATAATCTCACTTTCAATATCAACAAATTGTCTTTCAGGTTTTTCAATTTTAGTGATTGAAAATGGTTTTGCCTGAACTTCATGGAACGAAGATTTAATATTATCCTCAGATTTAGTTTTCTTTTCTATTTCTAATACAGACTGTGATGATGGTAAATCTAGTTTTGAAATTGATGAAGAAAGATTTTCATCTGTTTTTAGTTGACTTGATATTGTAGTATCAGAACCGTCCTTTTCCTTAGAGGAGTCTTCCTCTGCTTCAACATTTTCTGACATGCTTTCAAGAGGAAAATGTTCTGGTATCATGTCTTTTGGTTGAAATCTCATTTCATGAGACCTTTTCATTTTCCCTACTGGTTCATCTATGAGTTCTCCTTTAGGTTCTTCCTCATCACCCGATACTTCTTCATCGCTTACGTCTTTAACTTTTAATGATTGCCCTTTTTCACCTTCCTGTAAAAACTGTTCAACATAAGTGCTACTTTCCATTAACTCTTCTTTTAACTCATTTGCAGAAGGGACAAGGGTTTCTGATGCGTCCGAAATATCAATACTAGCTACATGACTAGAACCATCTGAATCTAAGCTTTTCATACTGTCTCTTGAAGTAAGCGAACTGGCAGCTGTATAATAGTCTTTTGAAGTTCTTAGTGACTGCGAAGACACATCGTGACTAGTAAGTGCTGTGTCAAATTCAGTGGCACTTTGAGCTGTCATCATAACTTCAACGTCAGATGAAAGTGGCCTACTTTCTGTGTGATCGAAACTATGATAGTGGCTTTCACCTGAACTAGACCATCCTTCAACTTCTGAAGCCGAACGTCTTTCTACTACTCCCAATTTGGATTTAATATGTTTCTGAACTCTGAGTTTTACTTCTGGACTTCCTATTGAAGAACAATCCCTGTCCGACAAAATAATCTCACTTTCAGTTTCCAAGATTGAATGAGGACCACTATCAGATTTAATTGATATATCTGCTCCATCTAACGGAACACTTGATTCTTTAATATGAACTGTGTCTTTTTCTTCATCTGAAATTGTTGTTTCGTCTTGGGAGCTAATTTTTTGAGACACACTATCCGATTTTTGACTATCCAAGTGTTTTTCAGCCACCGCACTATCAGAAATAGCTTTGTCTATATGATCGTCAGAATAGAGTGGTTCTTCTGTTATGACTTCAGGTCTATCTGGACTGATCAAGAGCTTAAATTGGAACTCTGATGGTGACTGTTTATACTTACTGCTACCATCACTTTTTTCACTAATTATTTCAACTTGTGCTGCCTCAAGAGACTGCTTAACTTCATCTATAGTTTTTTCCAAAACTGATAAGTCAGCGAGTGGTTGAGCAGACATTAGAGAATCAAAATCCACTCGTTCTGACTCTAGTTTCGTTGCATGAAACTCAGCAGAAGAGAGGTCAGTGTCATAACCACTACTGCAAATATCTTCAAGGCTTTTTTCTTTAACCAACTTAACCTCTTCCTTTCTATCAGTAGCGGTGCCAGTTAAAAATGCTGAATCTACTTCTGTGGAAAATTCCGATGCATGCAAAGTTTCAGCGCTCATTGTTGAATCTATTGATTTCTGTAAAGCTTCACCTTCATGGGATTCTAACGATTTTATCATACATTCAGTATCAATACTTTCCCCAGATTTAATCATGATGTCTTTTGACGCAATACTCATATCGTCAGAAATTTCTAATGTGCTTGGAGACATGTCACTCTTTAATGTTTTTGCTATTACATCAAGTTTCGTATCCATTACTGTTTGTACTTCACCACCATCACTATCAGAACTTTTTGTGGTGATTGAGGTGGTCTCACTTGTAGTAGTTTTAAGTTTAGGTGATTTAATAAAATCATCGGCCATTTCAAAAGAATCTGTTTTTTGTAATGAAACTTCCCAAACTTGGTCTTGTAGTTGCTGTAATGGAAGCTTAACTGGAGATTTAGCGAATTTTTCTTTTTTTGGTGTTTCATTAGTTTTATCATCATGAGGTAAATCTGGTGCTATTTCTGATTCAGATTGTGTATCTTGACTACCAGTTCTGCTAAATGTACTCTTGATAGGGGACGTAGACACTTTTATTTCCTTTATGAAATCTACTTCATAGACTTCGTCATCTTTTTTGAAAGACTTTGATTTACTTTTAGGGCTACTTTCAGAAGAACCTCGTCTTTCAACTGTTTCACTTTTGAAACTTGTTGCATGAGATACATCGGAACTAAGATCATCATGTTCCTTACTCTCTATAATAGATTCTTCTTTGTGATGCTCTATTTTTGAACTGATTAGTTTACCTTTTGCTGATACTTCAACACAAGAAACCCTTTCATCCTTTTCTACAATTTTTAAAGATGAATCTATAAACGCTGTTCTCGATTTTGAATCTTCATCTTCTCTTATATCTTCAAGTTCACCTGGCTCTGTAAAATATTCCTTACCCCATTGTTCATGTGACAATTCTCTCTCAGAAATTTTCACTTCATGTTTTTTCTTTACAGTGTCATCTTTAAGCGCAGTCATTCTTTCTTCTGATTTAGTCTGACGCCCTGTATATAATCCTTGTTCTAAAAATTCACGCTCCACTTTCACTATATCGGTATCATCTGTGCTTTTGGATACAGTTTTAGTTTCTACGTCAGATCTTTTAGCGGAGGCTTCATGAGCCTTTTCCAATTTCTTTAAAGATGTTTCTGTTTGATCACCTTCTCGGCGAAGCGTTGTTTTTTCTTTAGTTTCATGCTCTTGACCACGTAGCTCATGTGTGGTTTCAGTTTTAATTATAAGTGAGTCATCATCAGAAGAAGATACTTGTTTAGTTTCTGAAAAGTACTCTTGTCCAGAAATTTTTCTTGTTTCTGTTTCTTTATGTGATAAAATTGTACTGTATTCTTCAGTGGAACCAAACTTGGCAACCATATCGGATATAACTGCTTGTGGATCGATTGACTGGAACTTCAATTCAGAACCTTCAAATGTTTTATGCACTGAAGAAGAAGATGTAGATGTTTCTACTCTTGATCCAGCAAAGAATGTATCAGATGTCATTGATTTTTGCATTTCTTCCATTTTCACTGCAAGTTGCTCTTTCTTAATTTGATCGATTACGTCAATGCTTTTTTCTATTGTACGATCAACAAGTTCAATAGCTCCACTTGTAAGGGTCGGTTGGTCAACATTTATAAATGACAAATTATCGGCGATGTGTTTTGTAGGAGATTTCGGCCTGGCGGCTTCGGTCAATACCTTAGATGCTTCCGTTAATATATCTGAAAGAAACAAAATACATATTAGCCATGTATATTGGTGAGCCATACTTTCTGATTTATTATTATTGACAATGTTTGAAATAGTGAGATATACAAACCAGAATGATAAAAACGTAATGTCCAAATACTTTGAACTTCAATTTATTTTTCAAAATGAACATAGTGTATACACTTTACAAATCCGTGGAATTTTATCCATTTGGAAGCGCCAATAGCGTGAATAATATCTATGTGAACTGTGATGAAAGAAACTTAATAAATTACAGCGATGAAAGCTTTAATGTCAATGATATGGAAAAGAAGAAAGAAGGATTTAGAATCAAAGCGAAACGTTACTCAAAAGTGATTAACGAACAGATGAAAAATTGCGAATTAAAGACAAGGAAATTAATCTGCTTGTAATAAGCGACAATAATAAAAATTATGATGTTTTGATTTTGCTTGTGGGTCCACTTACCTTTTTCAACGTAAGGGCTCCGCAAGAAAGAAAGTAAAATTTACTGTGCTAACAATTACATTGGCGTTAAGTGTGTGACGATTGCAAACAAATTGCGAACTATTCAGTAGGTTTTTTTTTGTATTTGGACTTTAGACAAAACATAATGTGCTACTATAAATACTTACTTTTACGAATACATTATAATAAGTGTTTTCGATATTATACTTTCTTTAAAAGGAACATTCGTTGACTTATATTAGTGTTCAAATCAATTACATGCGATAACTGGCGTAAAATTAAAGAGTGTGGCAAAAAAGGCTCTCAACGATGGTAGGTTCTACGAAAAATTAGGAGTAAAGTTTCGCTATGACTCTACTTTGCCACTACTTTGAACTGATTAAGCTTGCATTAATTAGGATATAAGATTGATGCTGTTATTTTTCGTTGTTTAAAATTTAGTAATTAGAATAGTAATTATTTTTGATCAATTAGCGTTGTACTTCATTAACTACAAATACGAGTATTTCGTATATTTTAGTGGAATACTAACCACTTTGATGGGCCTCAGTTTCACTAATAAGGCTGTCACCAGCTGATGAAGCCCTCGGGGACTGACGACTAGCATCCAGGAATGACGAATCGGTACCTAAATTAAGTGAATTATTAGCTTATTAGCTCTACTTTCAATCAGACCTACGTAAGTGGGATGACAGTGTTGTTATGAGTGAGTTAAAAAACTAAATTTGTGCAGATACTACATTTCCAGTACAATTTTGTGTCTCTAGCAGAGAGTTGTTTCAAAACATTTTTATGCATATGATATCTAAATGTAATTTACATACCTTTTAGTTGTAGCCCGGTGTGTTTATCGCCAGTACTTTCTTCCAACTTTGATTTATCTTTTAAATGGAGATCTACTGGTGAAGGTGGCGGAGTTTTAGAGAACTTTGATGTGAGATCTGTAGGTAAAAGATGTTTTATTTTTCACTTTAATTGGTAATTTAAGAGGTCAGGCAGGTATTTCAGTATAGATAAATAAAAAAAAAAGAACAGGCTAAATTTAAGTAGAACTCGCGCACATAAGTTTCCTATAATATATAGGTAAAGAAATAAAGAAATATTTGTATTTTTTTAATCATATAAACATAGTAGCTTCACATACATGGAAATGTCGGAATTATCAAATTTTGCCTTTTCCTTAAATACCTTAAAAAAGGTTTAAGAAATAAAGATTCAGATTCTCATTTGTAAGTCATGTGAAAATTTTTAACATTGATTTGCTTTGTATCGTACTAACCGTGCGTTACATGTGTTGAGTCAATTCTTATTAAAGCTCCTTGTGATATATCTTCCAATAAATTAGAACATCTTCTATTGAGTTCACTCATATCTGGTACTTCATTTTCTACTTCTTGATCGTCAGTTTTTTCTTCGACATGCTTATCTAATGCAGATAAATCTTGCTTGGACGATTCTTGAACAATATCTTCTTTTTTGAATTCTGATTTCAGTTCAGCTATTCTTTCATCAATTTCTCCTATAAAATCTCTCTCAGATTGCGTCTCTAGCGTTCTTGTTTTATCTAAATATTCATGATCACTAAGTAATTTACTTTCAGTCATAACAGAAGTTTCTTGTGAAGAGCTGCTTGATACTTTGACTATTCTAGACACAGATCTTTCTTCTTCGAGGAAGTCCCTGCTTATAGTAATACCATCTGATACATCTGATGCAAGGGTTTTGGAGACTTCTAGAGAAGAATGGTCTTCGGAAAAAGTTTTCTCGTCAATTGATTTTGATGTTTCTTTGACACTTTCAACCGATGCCTTTGAATAATCCTTAGTTAAGTCCACTGTTGAGTCTTTGGATAATTCATTTGTAGCAAAATCTCGAGAGGTATCTTTACTATCAATCGAAGATTTTGAATAATCTTTTGTTAAATCAACAGACTTTTTGGATAAGTCAGGAGTGCCACGGTCTTCAACTGGCTCTTCTACTTTTGGATCTTCTTTTGCATCCATTGAGGTTTTAGATGGATCTTTTATTAGTTCCGCTCCACTAAGCTTAGATAATTCAGTGGATGTTCCTTCTTCTAAAATTGATTTTTGATCTTCATCTGATGACTTTGTCAATGTCGATACAACTGTTGTAACTGAAGACTCTGTAGTAGATTTTGATACTAAATCTGTGTGCAATATTCTATCAACAAAATGAGTTTTCTTTGGAAGTTTATCTGACGATTTGTCATCTTCTGTATCGATTTGTGCCCCACTGCTACTAGGTGCAACACTATAAGTAATTTCTGCATTCTCTTTTAATTTAGTTCCTGGTGCGTTGGTATACTTTTCATCTTCTTCAAAATATTCATTCTAAAAAAAAATATTGTAATATTAAAAATATTATAAGTTTTTTACAGTATTTAAATTAGAATAAAAGTTGGTTACCTCTTTTTCGGGAAAGTCATCAGCATCGTCCAATGAATCAGTTCTTAGTTTTCGTGGATCAAAACTAGACACAGCAATCTTACCATCAAGATCAGAACCAGGTTCAATAATTTCTAATACTTTTGCTTTGTCCATGTCTGAAAAAATTAAACGACATACCCGGATAACACAAATTTAAACTCTTAATATCTTTATTACATATCGAAATCAATATATTTATAAATTCATTTTTGAAACTTACCAGATTCAGAGTCGGTGTAAATTTGTTCTTCAACTTCATCTGGAGAACTTTGTACAGAAAATGTCCTAGGATGTTTTTTCTTTGGCATTATTACTATTTCTCCACTATCTCTTGATAATGATTTAATCAAACCTGGTCTGTCTTTTGCAAACTTTTTAGTCTCTTCATAAACGACTTCTTTTTTAGTTTCTATTTCCATTTCTTTCGCATCATTGGGTGACTCAAAAAACTTTTCTACAGTTGTCACAGCTTCTTCTATAATAGAGTCGACAGATACTTGTCCAGAAATATCCTGTATTTCAGCGGGCTCAATTATTTGCTCTTCTGAAGAACCATCTATATCTTCAGATGCTTGTTTAATTATTATTTCAATGTTATCAGCCATTTGTTTCATGGCAGAGTCAGATTTTTTCATTTCATTACTTATTTCAGTTATTATACGCGTTTCAGGGACAATCTCCATGGATTTAGGCAGTTCTTCTTCCTCACTTTCAACCTCTGATTCTGCTATTCTTTCTAAAGAAATTGCAGGACTAATACACGAATGTCTTCGTTCTTCCTTATGTGGAACTTTGGCATCATATGATCTTCTTTCGGATTCCATAATATCTTTTGTCACAATTTTCATGTCTTTTTCGAGGATTGGACTTCTTGCAGCGGCAACAATAGTTCCTTTTTGTAGGATATCATCAATTACTGGTTTAACTTGTTCTTTGGTAATTTCAGGAACCTCTTTCAAATCCAAATCTTTAGGCACATATCTCTTTGTTTCTTCATGTTCATCCTCTAAATTGAATTTGCCTAGTGTATCAGTACGTAATTTGGTAACATCAAATTTACTACTACTCTCTACAGAACTAATAATATCTTTTTTCATAATATTAGTCTCTATTATTTCTGATGACTGATCTTCAGCATTAGATACAGTTTTTATCTGTGATACTTTTAGTATTTTGGATGGTGATGCTTCAACTGACTTTGGCGTGATAATAGCCGTTTCACGTTTTAATTGTTCTTCTCGTTCACGGCTCAAAAATTCATTAACAATTTCTTTGTCTTGAACAGATCTGTAAACCAAAAAGTTATACTTCTATTATAATTGGTATTATATTTTAAGGTAAAATCTGGTAATAGCAAAAATAACGACATATTACATAAATACAATATTATTACAATTAATACAAGAGGTTACGTACCCCACTTCAGTTATCTGCGGTAATTTATGAACGTAATCTGTTACATGATCCTCAGGAAATCCTTCGACATCATCCAAAGAATCGCCATGCGTTAATTTCGCTAATTTAGAATCACTTGATTTTCCTAAAACATAAAAAAATCGTTAAAACGGTTAATTATTTAAACAATAAAATAGTAAAAGTTTTGAAAATTTTACAAAAAATCTAATTGATGGTTGAAATTAAATGTCAATGGACCTCCCAATAATTACATAATTTACAAAATGCAACCTTCATTTTTTATTGAGTACTTGATAAGATATTACTTTTGAGAATATGTATATTAATCTTATGCTACACTCAAAGACCGACACAACCAGAACTAGTTAACCGAATACTATATAGGCGCATCTAAATCTAGAGAATAGAATAGAATATTCTTTATTATTAACATTATATAATTTAGATGGATAGATACATTTATAAAATTTTCTAATTATTGGCGGCATCATACATAGATCTGAAGTCCTAGGTTACCCAAATGTTTTAAAATAAAAACCTCAGTCTATTATTTTATATAAATTTAAATAATTAAGATTCAAAACAACATCACACTGATTCTAAAAGGTGAGTAGCTAAAGCACTTTTATCATGGAAATCTGATATAATGAAAGTTAACAACACTCAGAATCTCTCTCTTCATCTCATCTGCGTTTATCTTGAGATTATTCTAGTCACTTGTGTCAACATATTTATTAACAATTGTTACTTGTTTTCACATACCGACATTATTTAAATGTTTTATAAGAGAAATCGACCTTTCATCTAAATTATTATAAATATATACGTACCTATTTTAGTTTTATCAGTTTCGAATTTTATTTCTACCCTTTCTTTGGATACATCTACATGTGTTCCTTGTGTACCAATATCATCTTCAGATTCTTCAAATGTGTAATCCCTTGACTCAGTTAGACTGTATGCATCAGATAAACGCTTTTCTTCTAAACGGAGTTCAGTTACTGAACCAGATCCAGCTGAAGTGACTGACTGCCGTTTACTAGCATCAACTGTAAGTAAACAAATACCTTAGATGAGTTTTTAGTGCAGTCTAGTTTTTAGCATTAATATGTTTCACGTCTCATTTCTATTAGTATAAATTATTAAAAACATAATAAGTATCTCGTAATAAATCAGTTATAATCAGTATAACAGAGTTTTATTCCCAACATAATTATTATTTTTCATATATCATACTACGTTTATTAGATAATCGGATAAAAATAATTTTAAAATGTCATGTGTGTCATGACTAGTGTTTATTAGATAGTCGGATAAAAATAATTTTAAAATGTCATGTGTCATGACCAGTGTTGAGGTGTTATATTAGCTTTACCTTTTTCAACTGTATCTTCTTTGTACAATTTGGTATCTACTTTTTCCATTTCTTTGAAAACCTCTTTCATAATCGATTCTGTTCTGTCTTTATCGTCATCCAAAACTTGATCTTTTTCTTTCAGAGCATCTTCCTCGGAAGATGTCTTTTTTTCAGTTACAGCATCTTCAGAGCTAATTTTATCAGAAATACCTTCTGAAGATTTTCTTTCAGAAATTTCAATTTCTCGACTACTTTCAGATGAGATTTTATCAGAACCTTCGTCTTTTTCAAATGATTTATCAATTTCTTCTGCTTCAGTTACAAAAATATGGAACTCTTGTTTAAGTTTAGGAGTTTCGATATCATTCTGCAAGTCACTAAGTTTAGTGATAGATACTGATTCGGTCCGCGAATGCCGTTTCGGGGTCATTTTCTTAAATATTAATTCTGGTTCTTTATCTGATTCAGAGTCCTGTTTTTCTAAAGACTGAGACTCAATTCTCATTGAAGTAAATCCAATGCTTTCTTCGAATTTTTCATCTCCAAAACCACTGCCTGAATCTACAGTTTCTTCATATTCCGCTCTTTCGTCAAAATCACTCGATGACACTTTGGCTTTAACGTCCGATTGATCTGATTTTAAGGAATCCGCTTCCGAATGTCTTCGTGAATCCGTGTGTTCAGAGTCTTCTAATGAATCGGAATATATACGTTTAGAGAAGAAGCATTCTTGTACAGAGTCATCTTCTGGAACTGTCTCTATAAATTGACGAGCTTTTGCACTAATTACAGGTGAATCTTTAGGAGAAACCTAATGAAAAAGTAACATAAATTTTAATAGACACTAAAACAATTAATATAATTTTCAACAGTTATAACAATTCATATTAAACTTAAAATAATTTTTACCTTTTCTGTGCTTATTGCCGCAACCAAAGGTGCGTTAATTTGTGCACTATATTCGTTTTCATATTTTAAAAATTCTAATGTTTGATCTCTAGTATTTGCTCTACCCGATATATCCATTGAAATATTTTTAACTTTTGTATTCGAAGGAAGCACATTTTCAATTCCTTCATCTTGAGAAGGCTTTTGGGCAGGGCTGGTGCCAATTTGGTCCTCTAAGTCAGAAAATTGAGATGCTTCATCAAGAGAATCACCTCGGTGTTTCGAGTCCTTGGAATATACCTGCAAAACCCCATTTCATATTTGAATAATATTAATATGATGTATTTGATCAAAGCATTCATGGCTAAATTGATGTTTATCTTTATGCAAAAAGTTAAAAAAATTCACCCCTGATATTTTCTCCGATGTTCATTTCGATCGAAAGTTCTTAACATTTGTAAATAATGGGTTTGACGAACATGAAATATTGAAGAAAACACGCTTTCTAGTAGTGAAAGTAAAAAGTGCTTGATAAATACATCATTCTTTCTAAGTCTCGATCACAATGGATAGAGCGGTCATAAAAAATTGCGGGTTCGAATCCCACCTCGAGGAACATGGGACTGTGAATTTTTTAACCATTTTCTAAGATAGGTATTGACATATTTTAAATAATTCATTTAAATGTATGACATAAACATTGATATGGGTAAATAAATTAAAAAGGCAAATAAATAGAAGAAACGTGGTTAACATAAATATGTTTTACTAAAATGTTTGGATTAATATTTACTTTATTTTACCTTTGATTCAGTTTGTGAAATAAAACTGAAGTCTTTTTCAGTACTCTGCTGTAAGTCAGCAAGAGAATCTGCTTTATCTATACCAGATAGTATAGGGGACTCTTGGGAAATTTTACGAGCAATTAAGTCTTGTACATCGGAGCTCATAGAATCAGTCTTGGTATGTTTGCTTAAATCTGATTTAGTACTCGCTATTGATAACTGAGTTTCAATCTACAAAAATTAAAGTGAGATTAAAGAGTCCCTACCTCAGAGATGATAATAAAATAATATGGAAAGTTCTGAAAATATGAAATTTTAAGAATCAAAATAATCATAAAGATGATTTCAAGTAAAATGCCAAAGATGTTGTAAAATTAAGATTTACATAATTTACCTTTTCTTTCATCTTTTCACTGATAGATACGTCTTTTTCCTCAAGAGCTTCCATTATTTCCTCTTCACTTACTTTTGTCCTCAATTCTTCCGTCATTTGCTTTTCGAATTTAATCACCAACGCTTGATCATCTTTCTTTTGATCATCGTCAGATTTTTTGTCTTGTTTTCCATTTGGTTTTTCCTCTTTAATTTTGTGCTCAAAACTTTCTTGAATGTTAGATTTCATATCAAGTTTGAATTTGCTTTTTTGTTCTAACTGATCACCTTTTATGGTCGTTTTGGATTCAGTTTCAGTTTCTGAATCCGTAGATTTTTTCAAAAATTCGCTGTCTTCTTCTGAGGAAACCTGAACTAGTGTAGAATCTGTTCTGACGGTTTTTGATAGAGTTTTACTCTTATCCTCTTCTTTTATTTTTGAGTCAAACTGCTGTATTGTTTCTTTTACGGATTTACTAATATCAGTTTGTTCAGTCATTTCTTTCTGCACTATATGCTCTTGTGTTTCAGTAGTTGATATTTGTTTAGATTGTTCTCTTACAAATTCTTGTGTATATTCTACCGCCTGGTCCTGTTCCATTGTATGCTTTTTCAGAGCTTCTTTGGTTAACTTCACTGTAGTCTTCGGTAGTTCCATAGATGGTTCTTTTAGTATTTTAGATTCAAAAGAACTAATTTTTTCTTTTAATGGAGCTTCTGCAATATCTTTGTCATCTTCCACAACTAAATCAGGGGAATGATCACCATCATCTAATTTTTCTTCTACTCTGGAACTTACAATTTCTTTTTGTGATATTATTTCATTTGTAAAAGAGTCTGTTTTTTCTGTTAAAATGTGTTTGGTTTCTGTAGTTTCACTGACAGATTTTCTAGGGGTGATTGTTACATTAGAAAAGTCACCTGAGGGGAATCGCATTGATTCATTTCTCATATGCCTTTGCAAATGTTTAGGAGTAGGTTTCGCAGGTGACGTTGGGTCAAACTTCCTAAATTGTTCTTGTGATCTTTCTATAATTTTTGGTTCTTCTTTTTTAATTTCTAATATTTCTTCTCTGTGAATTTCGATCTCTTTTTCTTCTTCAACGGTATCTGGAGATGTTTTGGAACGTACTCTTTCCAATTTAGGCTCCTTATCTTTTACCTGAAATAAAATATTATAAATAGATACTGTTACGGAACGATGAGCGCTGCCTTCTAACAAAGCATCGCAATGTTTCTACTCTTCACTAGATGGCGTTGTGTTTTATCTGGCTCACTCTAGCACTATATACACTAGGCGTGTTAACTACACCGTCAGCAACAAAGTCACGGGTCGCCATTCTAAAACTTTATGCCACAATTGCACAGGTAGGGCCGAGGGCACTTTGCCATCCTCAGTCCCTATAAATACGTGGTAAGCTACTCGCCCCGGCATTATTTCAGTGATCGGTGACTAGAATATGAGAGCTATAACAAGCGACAGTAGTGAAGTGAAGTGGTATATTTTGTCAATGAATTATTTTTGGAAGTTTTATTAGGTAATTAAAGTGTCGGGTTGTGTATTTAATTTTAATCCTGAACTCTAGCTCGTAACCATACCATATTTTTAAGTTTCAGTCTGAAAAGATGTTTTTATCTTTTCATACTTACTTGTTGTTCAATATCGTGGAACTTCTTTATGTCTGGTTTAATTTGAGTTTTGATTTCAATGATCTCTTCACGAATTTCTTTTTTCTGTTTCGATGCAGGTATTTTACTGGAGCTCAGTTTTCTAGTTATTTGCTCTTTTCTTTCCGCTACACTTCTCTTTACATCTGAAATTAATTTTCATTTATTTTTCGAGGTACTTTAACCAAGTAAACTACAGTTATTCATTCTAAATATTAAAAAAAATCACCTTCATCCTCTTCACTATCTTCACTTGGTGTTGGAGTGCGTTCTATTTCACTCTTCTCTATTATAGATTTTTCCTCTGGAGAATATTTAGCTTCGTCTTCGTGATCTTGTTCTAAGTCCCTCGTTAGATGTTCTTCAATATGATTCTCATCATAAAGCTTATCTTTGAGCTTATTGTCTTCTTCAGCTAAAATTACAAATGTTATTTGATTTTAACTAAACACAAAAAGAAAATATTTTCATACAAAGATACCTTAATACTTTAGTTGTCTTAAAAGGACAGTTGAGATGTTACTCTTTAATTATTTTGCATGCCCTCGCAACTTAATTTTTAATATTAACAGTGGTTTACCTACCTTTATAAGCTTCAATTTCTTCCGATGCTTGCCTCTCTTGGTAAATATTACGCTGAATTCGTCTTTCATTGGTCACATCAGATTGAGGTGCAATTATATCATCTCGACCAATACGGCACAAAGCAAGTTCGAGGCATGTATCTGTAAGCCATGGTCAAATTATTTCCAAAGTGTTTCTACTTATTAAATATTATAATAATTATAATTCTATATCAATGTTAAGTGATAATATTAAATATTTTAGATGATGCGATATAAATGAATAAACTAATTCAATTGTGTATTAGTTACCCTGAGCTTTGGTTCCTGATTGAGTTTTCCAAAGTTTCAGCATCAGTTGGGCTTGTTCCGCAGCAGTAATCCTTTTAGCTTGTATTTGATTTACAGTAGCCACACTTACACCTAGTTCGTAAGCGAGTGCTACCCAGTCTTTGCCAAGTAAGTTACAGATATCTTCCAACCTAATCAAAAATAAAATATAATTCAATTCAAACTCCTTTTCATCATAACCTACATAGAAATTATATCAACAATAATAAACTTTTGAATATGCAGAAACAAATCTATTTATGTTTCGTGCCTAATAATTAATTTATTTTGAAACCTTGGATCACTGAGTCGCTGTCTCCAGATGAGTTCTTGCTCTTCCGTGCGTCTTGGTATTTCTGTGTCTGTCAGTTGGGGGCTAATTCTTTCCACTGGCATATCATCAGGGACCATAATATTTAGTATTGCGATCTGATAACAAAACCATTATTATTTCCTCTTTAATATTCAGTGTAAATCAGATAAATAATTTTAAGTTATTTCTTTTGTAATCACACTCATTATAAATAAAACACAAATACAACATACCGGCGTAGGTGATGGTTCACCTTTAGGAACCTTAGGATCTCTCATGAATTGACACCTGCAGATTGGCTCCAAGTCTTGAGTCTTGATCATTACCGGAAAAGCAACTCTGTTTTCTCTGAAGGCTCGGAAAGGTATTGATAATTGTTCCCCTGATTTTGCCACAGGTACTAGGTTCCCACCAAATTCTAAATAAATTGGTTTTCCTTCATGGACCTAAAATAAATTTACATATTACTCAGTGACTATATTCATCAACAGGAACTTATTAGGTCACTTAAATTATCTTACCTCTACATCTCTGCTCTTAGCAACTTGAATAAACCGTTCAATGCGTTCTAATGCTTTATCTTCTTTATCGTCGGTAACACAAAACATACGAAGTTGTGCTTGGCATTCATCAGTGCGTTTGGCATAAACCACGAATTTGGCCATAAATGGAACGTGAATTGCTTCCCTAGAAAAAAAAAAGAAGAATTTGAATAATTAAACTGAAAAAATTCCGATAAATTTCCCATGAATAGAAATTTGATCACTAAATGAGCTATTTCAAATTTATTAATTCGATGAACCTGTATAATTCTGTAGCCATTTTAGTGGCGTCCTCGATGTGCCGGCAATCGATTAGCCAGTATCTTGCTGATACCGTTGTAGTGAACGACACACAGTCATTAACAAATGTGAGGGGTGTGTTTTCGGTAACGTCCTCCCAGTGAGCTCGGTTGGTACCACCTGATTAAAAGAAAAGTTTTCAATCCAAAGTCCAATTAACTTCACTTTAGCCCGAAAATTGTAAAAGACATGCCAGTTGAAAACATAACTGCTACATTACGAATTTTCGTATGCTTTTACTTGATTTAAGAAAGCTCTCAGCAGATCTAGCAGCAACAATTTGCCGTAATGAACATGATTCTACCTACTTCCAATATTGTATATAGCGTTCATACCAGGCCTTCTACTTTTATCTGAAGTGTTCTATAACTACTTAAATATTAAGTTAGTCTCACACTAATACAACAGATACATTAACGTTTTACTTATTAATAATGTTTATTTGACAGTAAATTGAAGAATCCGCTTAATGTGTAAATATATAACCAATATAGAAGAAAGATTGGAAATTTGGAAAGATAGGTTAATTAAAATAATAATCAACACAAAATGTTTCCAAAACGGCCTATAGCAAACACACAACAAGCAAGATAACGCATCACACAAAAACAATAAATAACGTACCATTTTATATTGTTTACAAATGAAAAAGTGACTGATAATGTGGCACACTGTGTACTGTCACCTGTTTCTTAACAATAAAGTGCTTTAGTTCCAAAATGAAAACAATGAATCTACGTGATACGTAGACGAATTATTTGTTAGTCTGGTTCGTTTCGGAAAACAGATCTCTCGAAGGACATTCACTGAACATAACTAAAAATCCTATTGAACATAATGAAACGTCGGAACTCAAAAGTGTTAAGTGGAAAATGAAAAGAACAGAAATGAGACAAACGAAGAAAAGATGATATGGAACAAAACTGATAGGCCGTTTTGGAAAAGAACTTTGATTAGTACAAGCAACTAAAGGAAAATTTGAGTATATTGACACAGAAGAATGAAATGAAGATGACATATATGGCACCGAGTCGATAGGCTTAATTCAAATCACGCTTATGCTAAACGAACACAGGTATTTAGTGTCAACACCTTCAATGTGCCATAAGGTTGTAGTGGTCATTAAACTAGCTTTTGTATATTTATACATATTACTAAACCAATAATTTTCAGTGAACATATCGCAGTGCATTTCTTGATGTTCCAAGATTTAATCATGTATGTTATGATACAGAGTGTATGTGATTGAACAAAGCGAAAAAGTTTCAGCCCGTGCAAAGAGGAAGAATGAATGAGAAGCATAATTATGGAAAAGCATTAAAAGTGATAGAGGGAAGAAAACAATGTAGCTGATAGTTATACTCTTAAAAAAGAAGAAACTCCAGAGTACAAATATCATTTTGAAACAATGACTTGTGATAAACCAACAACGCAAAATTTCAATAGGAAACAGAATTTTTCAACTGAAAATAATTTAACTGAAACCGATTTTTTTTTTCTGTTTTCTTGTATTTATTATAGTATTTTTAATTTTTTACCTTCGAGAGATCGTTTGCGAAATACCCCTGTTGGTGCGCGCCGATAGATGGCAGCACATTATTTAGCGCCACACACGGTGAGCGTGCAACACACACAAACACGAGAACAAAGACAATGTAGACACGCACAAAACGCACACACAGGGAAACGTCCCTTTAGCTGCTCGGTGTATTTGCTGTAAGCGCTTTTTAAATGGGTCGATATTTTATGAGTTAGGGGTGGGTATAACATTTTTTGTTTTTGTTGTTCTTTTATTATTTAAGAAAAATCTACACTATTTTTCCAAATATCATGCTCATCCCTTTGTCAGTTAAATCGGGAGTTTTAATTCTACTCTATTCAATAAAAATTTATCAACAAGAAAAAACTATATTATACTGTTTTATTGAATTCTATAAAATAATATATCCACACTCTATTAAATTATTTAATACAAAGTTAAAGATATCTAAAGTTAACTACTGATCTCCAAATAATATTATTGAATGATTGTCTAATTGATTGTTTACGATTTCACTGTTACATTTTAGAGCGAAAACTAAAAAATTGTTATATCTACTATACTAACGTGTTGTAATGGAATATTGGTACAACGATTTCATTAACCTAATTTAGACTCTAAAGCAAAGGAGTATTAGAAGCCTAATTAATAAGGCACACTTACCTTCAGTGCAAGCATAATTATGTCATCAAAATAGCGATAAAAAGCCATACTCCATTGCAACACTTTACAGATTACAGATTTTTGTTGGCTATATAACAAATAGGACTCTCTATCAAGACTCTCAATCAAATAAATATTACACGAAATAAATTATCTTTCTCAAATATTTTACTACCTTGACTTGATAAAAGTCCTTTTCCAAGTCTATAACCAAACAGATCTGTTTTGAAAAGAAGCAAACTATTATCGTACCTGATATAGAGCATAGCAGTCTTAGAGTTGGGGCAGACGATGTACTGTACTGGTTTGTCATTCCTTGAGTATGAGGCCTGGGCGCCGGCATACTTAAAGTTATAGCTTTGTGGAACTTTCTTCTTCTCGGTTCTACTGTCACCACCGGAGACACTGCTACTCCCCGGCCCAGAAGTTTTGCTGTTAACTCCGTGTCTATGATTTGAGCCTGTTGGCGATTAAGAACTCTTAAAAATGAATTTAGTTTTTGTGGAAATATAATTCATTATAATTAATTGTTATCTAAAGACCAAACGGATGTTCTCATAGCTAAGCCTTTCGTGATTGGCGAAAACTAAAATAATTGTGCTGAATTTTATCGTAATGAAATATTACTTACCGATGTCAATGAAATAAATTTTCAATTAATATTATATTTTGATATTTGTTTTATATTTCGTCAAACGCAAGAATCACTTACCACATACTGTAGCAATTTGCTATGGCTTTAAAACTTTTGAAATTAAAAGGGTGAAAGGTGAGCTTGGTGCAAAATTAAGCAAATATGAACATATGAAATCACAGGAGAAGCAATAATAATAAAACATATTGCACTTATAACGTGTATAGCAGATTAATCTATTTCTCACACATGCGCTTCAAAATCAAGATGCCACACACATTTACTAATAAATAAGCTCAAAACATTCAAAAAAATGCCAACACAAACAACATGCAATCTCACGTTTGGTCTTTAGGAAACAGTTTACATATTCACATAACAATTATAATACCACTTCAGTTTAAAAGCTCAGACATTACCCAATAAATTCAGCTGTAACCTTAAAATACTTATTTATTGCTACTTATTTAATAATAAGATATACCAATATAACACTCCAAATGTATATATTTGTAAATCACACATAGCAGATAATAATAAATGTATTCATAACGTACATAGTTATATGATAATGTTTACATAGTTTATGATAATCAACATACATTTAAGACATGCTGATAAGATCGCCTAAAGACCAACTAGTGAAAAATTTGCGTCAAAACGTAGTGTGAGAATCCCGCCCTTGAGTAGTGATTTCATATAATTCATTGATGCTTAAATTTAAATCAAACAAAAATTATTCCTTCTCATGTTTATTTAAATACGAGCTACATTTTTTTATAAATTATGCATTTTGAGGTTAATTCTAAATTTATTGGGTATGAACGATCTCTAAAAGAATAACTAATAATTTAAGTAATTATAAAAAAAACTTCGTTGAATTTTATCGGCGTTATGTTAGATTAACGATATGTAATAAGTTCCAACTTTTTAGAATGTATTATTTCATTTGCACTTGAAATATCCATCGCATCTGTTGTTTAGTTAATATTAGCGGCATCTAATCATTGCAATTTATCATAAAACTTTGTTGATACTACTGTTTTTAATTCGAACATAGATTAAAGTAAAAATTATCTTAAACTACATCAATGATGATGATACAAGATGTAATGCCACCTTCACATTGAGTGGTCCAAAAAAAGTTGCGTTGAAATTACAAATGTACTTCCTATACGTATATTATATTTTCAGCTACGATTGTCATATATAAATACGAAACGAATAATACATAAATAACTATAAGTAGTATATTGCGTACTTGCGTAAGTAATAACTATAAGTAGTATGAAATACGTGCTTATGCCATAACTACCTGTTTTTATAACAGAATAGTTAAGTGCAATTTTTTAGGAGTTCGATTACACCAGACTACCAGTTTCTAAACGTCATCTATTTTGGTTTTTGCTATTGCGATGTTACAAAGAGATACATATTTAAAATTCTATTATACGCTCACAGAAATCATTCCCTTATACAAACTAAATTATTTCTATCGCAAAATTAGTTATAGAAACCTTAACAAATCTAGAAAACAGTAAAAAATTTGGCATATAAATTTGTACTTTACCGTTTGATGAGTTCGTTAATTTCTATAATTATAATAACATAATATTTTGGCGATGGAGCCCATTTTTATTTTTACGAAAATATATTCTAATACAACAGATATTTTATAAAATCAGTACAAAGTGAAGAAATGCGAGATTAGTATTAAACATAGTATATAATGTCGTACTAGGTTAGATAAATATTTTTATATAATATACATAAGTTTAATTCAAACTGACTTTGTCAGTGTACAAGTTAAAAATATTACCTTCATATTTAGTGACTAGATATGAACAATTCATTAAATATCAATACCTCAGATTATGATCAAAGATTTAGATTATTTTATTTGAGTTTAATTATGAAAAAGAGCAGAAAATATTAAATTGTACCATTTAAATTACAAGATCAAAAGGTTTCATATTTAAATGAGTTTTGAAAAAGATAACAGACTAGAAAAAACTAGTAGTAATATTGTTAAAACTAGATTCTATGCTAAAGTTCTAACAGCACTTCCATTGATAAATAGGAAGCTTTTTTTATCTTTAGTTCGTATAAATTGTTCTCATCATGTCCTGTTCCGATGTAAATTATTTTAAGAGTCATAAAACACCTTTTGAATGACATATCTGATCTTCAAATATAACGGAAAAAATTTAAAACTTTACCGGTATTTTATGAAACAATATCATATTTCACAAATTACAGTTTTAAATATAACATTTATAGCTTAAATAGAGTATACAATCTTAAAGCTCTAATTAATTTTAAATTCAATTCAACCTAGGCAGTGTTTTTTAATATTATAAAAAAAAATACGTAAGAAATCTTAGATGTTTTCTTGGATACAAGAACATCAATAATCCTTCCTAGACCATTTTCTAATACTATTAATTTAAGTTAATCAAAAACAATTTTCATGACATTATTTCGTCACTATTACCAAATCAACGAGAAGCGTTTCTTCTTTGAGACATTATTGACTGTGATTTTTTTTAGGTTTTTGTCTTTGACACCTTTACGGGGCTTGAATAGATTTACCTGGAGACCAACTTTGATCTTCTTGGTGAGAGCACCTTGTGGAAAAACGGCTTGTACTTGAGGGACTACGGAGCTGGAAACCATGCCACCTTAAACGGGAAAAAATATTAAATTAATATCAATACATCGTGACTAGGTCTTTAGCCTCATCGAGATATGATGCATGGTTTAGTAAGACTTAAAAATTAATCATATACATGATTGAAGAAGGCAGAGCGTTTTAATTTTAATCATGAAGACATAGCTTACAAATCAGAACGATACATTTTAGTATAGTAATTCTTATAAATATATTGTTAAAAGCACTGTTGTCATTTCTAAAGGAAAAAGGTTTTCTTCTTTTGAAAAAGGTCTTATTTGTTTGAGTTACTAATGCTTAGATAGCGCTGCCTTCGACCGTTCTAAGAATTTAATAGATATACCATACAAGGAATAATAAACATATTTTGTAAACTTTAATGTTAAATACAGCGAAATAATTACCTTCTGGGCCGATAGCATGAACTTCTTGACGTATACGGGATATGACTGCAAAATATTGCGGAAAATCATGGGTCAGGATTCGAGTCACACGCGGTGCGTCCCAACCTTTCTCATCTTCATTGGTTTCTGTAAAAATATAATGGAAGATATTATTGAATGATGGCTCATTACTTAGCGCGTTCTGACTCTGGTGCGGAAGTTGTGCAACTTTCGCGAGGGGCGGTCATAAGATGGATGAATAAAAATTGACTATCTCGAGCTCCTCTATACTTCGGAAGGTTACACCGTTGGAAGTTATTGTTAGATTATATTTCTCATCTAATAAGGTGAGAAGCACAACGAACATCATCCAATATTCACATTTTTTTTTAAATAAACCCCATCATACTTTCCTTCGCTACTTGGTTAAATATTACTGCAGATAGTGGTATCCACCTCTACAATTTTATTGGATAATCCCTATCTATCTATCTCTTTATGAGCAAATTACCCAAATTTATACAAACTCACCTTCAATTTCCAGAGTCTCGTGGAGTATATCTTGCACGACATCATCTGTAGCGTCAGCATTGTGTTCTCTCCAGCTGGTTCCATTATCCGAACGGAGAATTACGATCTCTCTCTCTTTTCCACGAAGAGATGCATAGTGGGGTACTTCCAGTATAACAGGCCTTTTTTAAACAGAATTAATTAATTCAAATGCAATTATATTACGGGACTTACCATGTGAGTAAGTACATTTAGATCAATATTAGACACGTACAATTGGCATATTGTTCTTATACTGTAGACGTCACATAGGAGCATTTTACACACGGCTGTATGTCAGGTCCCAATTGATTTTGATTGCTACTCTCAAAGCATTGTGGTTTAAAATTACGTGGAGAAATTTGTCAGTTTTGTAAAGAGTACAAGAGAAGAAAATGATAAAACGAATACACTACAAAATGTTTTATACATACGAAAATAAAATTCCTGAGACAAATTACATATTGTTTTCTTTACGTATAAAATTACTGCGACCTAAGATTATTCAGAACTTACCCTAAAAACTTGGCTGCAACAGGACCCATTTCCAGTACCCGAGCTGCTAAAGCTTCTCCCTCCATCAATGGAGGCATGTGATTGATACGCGATGGCTTCAAGTATCTAAAACAATATTTATGTAATATCATTTCATGCGATATCGGCATTTATTTGGTTAAATATTTGGCTAGTGCATTTAACAGTTTCCATTAAGATTGTAAGAAAATCCACATAGAAGAATTCCAATAGGTTTTGGAATGATAATCTGTTCTTTTTCACCACCTTAATTAAAATTAAAAAGAAGTTGTTTCATACTATTTACCTGCACGTAATCCTAGTAGGCTGTTGGGCTGAGAGCGGTGGTACTATCACTCTCACACCTCCGCCTCGACAACCTCTCAAGGCACCACCCCTGGCATCCACGAGGAATGAGACCAGGAAACTAGATACAAGAAATACAATTAATTATTTTTATTCCTGGTCAAATTGGATGAAGATGGCAAGTGATAGACCTATAAATAACATGCTTCTATACCAATTCCATAATTTTTATACAAGATAAATATAAACATGAAATGTACTCACTTCTTCCATTGCAATTTCTTTCT